ACCTACTTAAAGACCGCTATAACTTCAAATTAAATTAATTATTGTGAGCTATATTAGTGGAGATTAAACATTCATTCTAAACGAGACTTTTACTATAACCCGCAAGTGTTAACTTGAGACCTGAGCGCAGTAGGTAGTACACAACGGCGCTCAGGTCTCAAGTTAACTCTTACGGGCTACACCTGCCAATGAGAATGATTATTGAAACGCAACTTTATAGTATTCAGGCAGAGTATCTTTTATTCAAAATAAATAAACATAATCGATTCTAATATAAAAACTAATGTGAAGGATGAATCTGATGCTGTGTAATAAGTTTGTTGATATCAGGTTCCAATTTGCTCAAGAACAGCCGCAAGTCACCACGTTCGGTAGTGTTGTCACAGCACTAAAACCACGTTCATACAAATATGACGATGGGAATGGTATCAAGAATCGTTGAACGATTAACCACAATCCAGGGTACAATAGAATAGAATGCACAAATCGGGTTATTTAATAAAAACTTGTTAAAACATGATTGCTCGCGGTCTACTCTACGAAAATTACCCACCCAGGAATACTAATAACTATTAAAATGCGAAACTGTGTCTGTTGCCTTTTTATTTGTTTGTTTGTGTCTACTTTCATTTCTTTTGCCGCCCTTTAGGCCTGCGTTATCGCCCACTTTGGGAAAGGCTGGCTTAAAGTAACTATTTGACTTAAAAGTAGACAAGAATGAGAGCGACAATAATGATATTTGGATACATTTTGAATTGTCAAGTGTGTATTTTACACACATTACAAATGCCGTTATAAAAGTGCATGGATTTTAAAGTTCCCTTTGTCTAATTGATGTACAATAAAGTTTACAAAAATTGTTACTTAATACTTTTTTAGATAGATTGCTTTACATGAATGAGAACGATTTACTCACTAGCGCTGAAATTGGCATTTAAGTCGATTTTTTGCTAAAACGTAGACGCACTTCGTTAGGTTACTTCACTGTATACACTCCAATCCGACAGGAGCCCCTTCTCACGTGTGCGAAGGGTGAAGGTGATGCGGTATGAACTTTTGTTATTAGGAGGCTTTTAGTTGAATTGACACTAATGATCAGAAAAATTGAAACACATTTTGCATTCGCAAGAAAACATGTTTGTTTACAATAAATTGGAAAGTTACGGTATGTATTCGACGTGTAAGTTATTAGAGTTTATCCTCGATGGGAAATATTGCGATTTCCACCAGTGTTTAATTCTTTTTCTTCTTTTCTTAAAATTAGGGCGACGTGGAACCGGCTCCCATGAATGAGAAATTGCCCACTTTTTAATTTTTATTTATTACTGTGACGAAATAAAGTAGTCTTTTATGTGTAACATAGACTAAATAAGCAAGCAATCATATTAAATAAATAATGCTTAGCATTCATGTAATAACATAAAAGTTATTGAAGGGGACACATTTTTTGAAGTTATCTGAAAACGACCCTGGCGCTGTATTTTGCTACTGCACAGAGTCGTCACCGTTAAGAGTGATCTATTTAAATATATTTATTTTTGTACGAAAGTAAAATCTGATATTACAAAAGTTATGGCACTAAAGTTGTTGTTTATGATGTTAGTACTACGTCCTGCAAGATTGTTTGTATTTCAAAAATAACCCTGTATAATTTAGATCCGAAAAAAAGTTTCATTTTCAATTACTTTTTTTTAAATAAAATATTTAAGTGCGCGTGGAGATCACTCCATCTCACCTGGTGGAAAGTGACGATGGAACATACACTCCTTATTATTGCCTATTCACTCTCGTCTTGAAAATGTGCAAGTTATAACGTTCAGGGAATATGTCTGCAGGCAGGGAAAACCACTCCATAGCCGTTCGCTATATAAATGTGGAAGCGTAACGCTTCGTGCGAATCTCCACTACATAGGGGTGGAACCCAAGCCTACGTTTAGTCCCCTGGTGATGGAAAGGAGAAGGCGGAATTAAATCGGACCTTAGGGTTTATTACACACACAGTTTATTACAATACTTTGATATAAATGGTAGATTTTCTGTTCTCTTTGCAAAGAAATATAAATTGTTTTTTATTGTCATTATACCGATGATAAAGGAACTTAATTCTACAATTAAGAAGGAGACTGTGTTCATTAAATGTCTGCTGAAATAATGTGATATGTTCAGTTTCTTACGCTATCCCCTTAGATATGCCCAAATATGTACTCTATGTTTAATATGTCATTTGTCGGTGATGATGGTCAGAATGTCCAATATACGACTGGCAAGAAATGAAACATCAAAGCAAAACGAAACTTCTAAATTAATTTTAGTCTGGTCAGCAGAAAATGAATTTGCTTTTAATCCAAAGACTGTACAACGATTTGCTATACTGAATTGTAGTTATACAACTTGCTT